CTCTCTCTCTCTCTCCCTGTCTCTCTTTCTCTCTCTGTCTCTTTCTCTCTCTTTCTCTCTTTCTCTCTCTTCATCTATCCATCTATCTATTTATATCTCTATCTCTTTCTCTCTCTCTGTCTCTCTTTCTATCTCTCTTTACACCTCTCTCTCTCTCTCTCTCTCTCTCTCTCTTTCTCTCTCTCCTTCTCTCTCTCTCTCTATCTATCTATCTCCTTCTCTCTCTCTGTTTGTCTGTCTGTCTCTGCCCCTTTATTACTTTTTAAGAAGTAATGTGTCTGACACTCACATTTTATGCAAACACATTTAAACACACTGAAACATCCGTACATGTAATTGCTTTAACGCACTGGCTTACAATGTTATATTTTGCGCACATGTATTATGACAAGTTGTAATCGTTTGTGTTGTAACCTCTTAACTCCTCGCCTGTCACCAACCCTCCCAACCCCTCTCCTTCCCCAACCTCTCCCTTCTTCTCCTCCCCCATTGTCTACTCCCCCACTAAATCTTTCGCTTGGTTCTCCGTCAGTTAAAGAAGGTCATGGGAATATCAGAGCCGAGGAGGTGGAAATTTGGGAGCCGCAGGACGGCCCACCCCCTCCAGTTCCGGAAACGCCCAGCCGGATACCTTACGCCACGCCCCCTATACCAGAGGAGGAGGATGACCCCAAGTCAAGTAGGTTCACGAGACATAATTTTCATGGCCAGCGACATTCACGGTCGCACAAGTCATTTTCTGTCTTTTTTTGTTGTTGTTTATTTTGTCTTTTGTTGTCTTTTTTTTTATTTGGAAGTGTTTAGAAAATTTCATAAAAAGACAGCTCCCAAATTAGAACCATGACTTCAGTACTCGTTATTTTTTTTAATTAAAAGCTGAGAAAGAAATAAAGAAATAACACGACACTATATCCTTGTAAGATGCCCCATGATGCCTTTATTTTTAGTAACAGCTGTATCTGAAACCTTTGAGAACTGACTTAGGTGATCGTAGAATGACGTGAATGTATTTTTGAAGATTTTGGTGAGGTTTTCATCACATAGACCAAGTGTATGATTTTTTTTATCGTCATTGTGTGCCTTTGGGGAGTCTCTTTGGCTCTATCGATCCATCTGTATCTTACCTGGATGCTATCCACGAAGTTGAGATTTTTTCTGAATACTATCATTTCTGCTACTGGGGTAATAGTAATAGTATCGATTGTGTAAAGCGCATAGAGCTTGCTGTTGCACGGGAATTTCCGCTATACAAATGCTGTCTATTATTGTCTGTTCTTCCTGTTTATTTGGATGCATCGAGAAGCTGGTTGTTCTAGTCCCATTCTCATAACGTGTCCAAACCACCTGATTAGTTGTAATTTGGACTTTGACATTATTATACCACTTTGTAATTGATTGTATGGTGACACAAACAACGACATTTGAGAGATTTTTTTAAAGCGAGGGTGGTGATATGCATGTTGACAATAATGCTGTCATTGACACCTATCTATACATATTCTATTAATTTTTGAAAGTCCGTCACTTTCGCCACCTAAAATTTTGAAACAACTTAACTTTCGAATTTGACAAAGTTAATGGTGGTTCAGAATCATTTAAAGGGTGCACAGTTCTATTGGGGAGCCTGAAGTCACTGTAGTTTAATTTTCAGTTTTTCATTAGTTTCGTTTAGATCTAATCTTGGGAAAGTATGTCTTCTAAGACGCCATTGTAAACAAGTGAGGTTTCCGTTTAATAGCCGTACGCACTGTTTCCACACCTTTGAAATTCTGGAGTGTACAACCATGAAAGCGAAATAGAGAATCAATCTATACATCACTATACCTTAACCTTCTAATTTTGTGCATCTTTCAGGATTTAATGTTCCATTCCAGTAGAGTGTAAATATAGTAGGCCAATGACTTTCAGTTGATATTAAGGCACCGATCATTCCTTTCATTGAAAGGGGACCCTGCTAGTTTAATCATAACGACAAAGGTGATGAGAAAATGAGAAAACTAAAGGCAATTACAATACTAGATAACATTTGTATAGTACAAATACACGCTCAAATGACTCTGTTGCAATCTTGTTGGGTTTTTTTGTAGAACAAGAAGATGGCTGGAAATAGGAAACCATCACCCTTTGATGTAACGTGTGACATTCCAGGTTTATAGAGATGATAACCATAATATGAATGTTCTCTTACTAATAGCACGTTGCACCTTACAGGTTTCAACAAATCGTACAAGAGGAAAGGTGGCTCAAGAGGGCACGGCCGCCGGACTTCTTCTGCGAATGTTCCTATTGCAACCACGTTAGCAATACCACAGCTCGATGCAATACAAAGGTAAGATACTAGAGAGAGAGTCACAATAGGTAAGTTTACCCTACAGTTGTCCTGATATTACCATTATTTTTAGTAGTAACTTTCATTTCAACCTCACTGCTCTTTTCGGTGACCATTCCCACCTACCGCACCCCCTACACCCCTGCCCCCACACCCACTTTTTTCCTGTGTTTTGGGGTGTTCTTCTTCCTTACCTGTATTAGCTGGGGCCTATACTTATAAGTGGTTAATGGGGCAACTGGAGAGGGCACTTTTTACAAATTTATTGCGTTGAAAGAATACGTACAAATTAATCATATGTAAATACACAGATTCAAGTTTTTGGAGTTTTGTTTGACATTCACACACTGCTTGATATTCTATCTCTATCTATCTATCTTTCTGTCTATCTATATCTATCTATCTATCTATCTATCTATCTATCTATCTATCTATCTATCTATCTATTTATCTGTCTGTCTGTCTATCTGTCTATCTATCTATCTATCTGTCTGTCTGTCTGTCTACCTATTTATCTATCTGTCTATCTTATATCTATCTGTCTATCTATCTATCACTTGATGACACCCTATCTTTAACTCTGTAATATAAATATTCTCGGTTATAACCGTACGAAATAAGACTTTGTTCAACTTCTGCCCGAGTCGTAATGCTTTCTGAATAGACCAACAGACAATCATGCATTGTTTTCCCTTGCCGACCCCAGATCTCAGAAGCTATTAAACATGAAGCTTTGTCAAACTTCTGTCTGAGTCGTAATACTGTAATACTCTCTGAATAAACCACACACAAAAATCATAAACTGTTTGTTTTCCTTCGACAACTCCAGGTCTCAGAAACTATTAGACATGAAGCTTTTTCAAACTTCTGTCCGAGTTGCAATACTGTAATACTCTCTGAATAAACAAAAACAAATCATGTACTGTTTGTTTTCACCTCTACAACCCCATGTCTCAGAAGCTATTAGACATGAGACTTTGTTCAACTTCTGTCCGAGTCGCAGAACTGTAATACTCTCTGAATAAACAAACAAATCATGTACTGTTTCTCTTCCCTCCCCCACCCCAGGTTTCAGAAGCTGTTAGACATGAGGCTTTGTCAAACTTCTGTCCAAGTGGCAATACTCTATGAATAAACCAAAATCTCCTGTACTGTTTTCCCTCGCCCACCCCCAGGTCTCAAAAGCTGTTGGACATGAGGCTCCAGCAACTACAGGCCAACCATAAAGAGACGAACCGGCTCCAGGACGACGTGGAGTTCATACGACGTCTGATGGCGGAGAACCAGAAGGCGCTATGCAACGTCGTGCAAGCCCTGGCAAACATACAGGTCACACTACTTAACCGTGGATTTTACTAGGCCTATACATGCATTATACCAGGCATTCGTCAATCTCTCATCTCATCTTAATCTAATCATCTCTCGTCTAATCTCATCTTATCTCAATGTAATCATCTGCTCTTCTCTTAGCTCAAGGTACCCACCCTCATGGTTGGCGGGTGCTCTGGTGTGGTTTGCTTCTTCTTTCCTATCAAACATCTATCTTCCATATCTCCCCTTCTTCGTTTTTATGTTTGTTACTCTCTTGTAACAACTCTTAACTCATGGCGCTCATATGACCTTATTATGCAGTTGCGAGCGTCGTTAAAAACTCTACTAAGACTGAAAACTAAACTAACTCTTAGCTCAAGAACCAGAAGGCGCTATGCAACGTCGTGCGAAGCCCTGGCCATCATACAGGTCACACTATTTAACCTTGGGTTTTACTATATTTTACCAGACAATTGCCAATCTCTCATCTCATCTTAAGATAAGATAAGATAAGATCAAGATAAGATCAAGATAAGATCAAGATAAGATAAGATAAGATAAGTTAAGATGAGTTAAGATGAGATAAGATGATCTTAAAATTTGTGTAGAAAGGGAGTGTGATTCATCGTTTATAATAATGTTTATCTTTTCATACTTGTGATCTTATACATTTCATGAATTCTTATAAAATCATAATTATCCAGAGATCTTGCAGGCTTTCTTTCTGTACTGTTCCATCAGAAGATCTCATCAAATCTTTATAATGTAAGCAGAAGACCTCATCGCATCTTATTCTATCTACTATCCAGGGAACCTTCCTTCTTATATGAGCAGTAGATCTCATCGTATCTCATTCCATCTCCTTCACTGGGAGTATCCCATCTTATATAAACACTAGCTGGGCCCCCTTTCGATGAAAGGAATGATCCGTGCATTAACATCAACTGAAAGTCATTGGCCTACTATATTTACACTCTACTGGAATGGGGAAATAAATCTTGAGAGATGCAAAAAATTAGAAAGTCTAAATCTAAACTCTCAAAACAAAATGCGCCTCGCAAAATATCACTTCCGGATTTTCTAAAATTTCTGAGACAGAAGCGTCGGCCTACAAAAGCGATCGGCGAAATAAAGAAATTTAGCTTTTTGCAGCAAAACTGTCTCAAAACTGAAAAAACCAAGGGCGCCATGATCTGGAGAATATTTTAAACAATTTTTTTGGCGAAAACCGCATGTCGATCGATGCAGCCATTAAAAAGCCTTTTGAATAGCAAAATTCGGCCACCACAAATAGATAATAGAAAATGTCTCTTTGTCTCTTCTTCTATCTCCTTTCCAGGGAACCTTCCATCTTTTATTATGAACAGAAGATCTCATCGAATCTCATTTTATATCACATCCAGGGAGTATCCCTTCGGAAGTGAATAAAAGGTCTCATCGTATCTTATTCTTTCTCCTATGTAGGGAGAGTTTCCATTCTATTAATATCAGCAGAAGATCCCATCGTATCTTATACTATCTCCTATCCAGAGAACATCCCATAATACTATATTATGAGCAGTATAGGGAGTTTCCCATCTTATATAAACAAAGGATCTCATCGTAACTTATTATTCTATCTCCTATATCCAGGGCGAGATCGTGAACTTGGTCCAGTGCCTCAAGCCCCAGCCCAAGACCACCAGACCGCCCACCAACGCCCTAGTGGGCTCGCCCTCCGGCCCTCTTACAGTGGTCAACGCCCACCCCTTGAGCCCCGTGCCCGCAGGCGGGACGGCCGTGCTGGTAGAGCGCATGCCCCCGGACACATGCCGCATAGATCGAGACCGGGGCGGGAGCGGGGGGAGGAGAGACAATAACCGGGACAGCAGAAAGAGGTCCGGAGGAGTGGAGGAGGATGAGAGCAATGTATGATGGATCGCCCCCCTCCCCGTCCTCCTCCTCCTCATCCCGTGATGAGGAAGATGATTTTTGGGGACATATTATTATTCTTATTATTATGACGAATCACTCAACATTGTTCTGTTGTTGTTAGTAAAATTATTGTTCTTATTAATATTATTATTATTATTATTATTATTATTACTATTATTATTATTATTATTATTATTATTATTATTATTATATTATTATTATTACTGTTATTTTTTTTATTATCATTATTACTATTATTATTGTTGTTATTATTACAATTAATATTATTAATATTATTATTATTACTATTATTAGTAGTAGATATCTATTATCATTTTTATTATTATTATATTATTATCATTATTTTCATTATCCTCTTTATTTTATTATCAATTTATTTTTACCTTATAATTGTTATTATAAAAATCATTATGATATTCTTATTCTTTTTACATTTTTTCTTCTTATTATACTTATTCTTTTTTATTCTTATTCTTACATTTCCCCCAACTAGCTACGATGTTCTAGTGACGTCTTTTTACCTTCAGCCCTTGTGATCATTCGCCATACCTCCATTCCTTGGAAGAGGACTGTTCTGAGCGCCACAACAACACCACGACGATGCTGCCTCTTATCTCCGGGTCACACTGACTTATTCACGACAAAGTCTGCCCATTTTTTGGTGTGTTTTACGTCCGTGCTTTGGAACACTTACTTCATTCAGCGACGACTTCCGTACTGCTGGGCTAGCCTACTGCTGCGTCAAACTGCAGAATGGGACTGCATGTTAGACTCACCCAAAGAGGTTATATATATAATACTAGAGCTCGCAGCAGTGACGTCACACGTGTCTGACATGGGGGCCCTTCTTACCCTCATCGGCATGGCCGGCTTGCCCCCGTTTACCTGAACAACCTTAGCCCTTGTCACTCTTCTCAAGAGTTCTAGTATATTAAACACCACCCTGCGCCCCGCCCCCCCCCCCCCCTATATTTCAGTGCAAGCTTGTAGATTTCCTCCAAAGATCACCGATACGCCTCCATGTGGGTCTCGAAAAGTACTCACCCGTCTGTTGAACTGCGTTTTTGCCCTTGAGGTTCAGCGTCCCAGAGTGGGCACACGCAATCCCCGTTTGTTCACGAGATCGACATCACTGCCAGGAACACTAGTCTTAAATATAACCTCTTTGGACTCACCCCATGACTGCATGCCAGTCTGTCAGATTGTTTGCATGTTTGTCTGACTGTTTCACAACGTTTCTGTGTCAGACTGCGTGACAGACTGTAATTTTATTAGCTTGAGTGATTGTTGAAATGTCATCCGTTATCAGAAATGAATTAAATTGTCTGTTCGTTTGTATAGTTCTAGTAGGGTTTTACGGTGCTCGCAACTGCACAAGGTCATATTTATTATGAGCGCCAAGGGGTGGATGTCAACAGAGAAGTCCTTAGGGGGAATCCGGCTTACTCTGCTCACCTCTCTAGCCTCAACAGCACGAAGTTTACTTCGACTTTCAAGGCACCCTGGAACTCCCTGAGTGCTGTTTCGAGCTTGGATAATGATAATCGCTGAGAACTCTCACTCGATAAATAGATCTACATTGTAAAATAAAACAGACCGTTTTTTCTTCTCCTTTTAGTTTTGTCCCTGAGAAATATAGAAATGCACTCTTTGGTAGTATGGTGGATTTTTTTTTTTTTTTTTTTTTTTTTGGGGGGGGGGGGGTCTTCATCATGAACACAAGAGCTAAGGTGGCTTGGTCTGATTTCGAAACCGCCACTACCTAGTCATATAATTTTGGCCTCTAACTGGGACATGACACACAAGAAACAATAAACCCCGAGAGTTGAATTAATATACTCCAATTCTGATAAATGACTAGGTCCTGGGGCTATGATCATTATGGGGTGTGCAGGCAATGCTGTTTTTTCGACATCAAAATGCTAAGTTACCATGCTACTTTGATATCAAATGACTATCGCTGCAAGATTTCAACACTATGACGTCCCCTGTGTTCATACCCTTTAGGTTCTAAAGGATAAACTTGATGAATGATGTTCTAGCTAGTACTCTTTTGACAGGGTAGCGTAAACTTCTTAATTTTTACGTAACAAATCACACTCAGCGAAGCCTGGTCTAAACAGTTCCGTAGTTTTGAGACACTTAAAAAGACAGATTTTATGGGGTTTAAGGTGGGGGTGGGGTGGTTGGTAATCAAAAGACAATATTATCATACTCGTTGCCGCTAATAGACAAAGAGTCTACATAACAAGAGGGACCACTTCTCTCTTTGAGCCAATTAAAAAAGTGTCCTCAAAATTCGGTGGCGCACTCTTCGCAAAAGCGCATCTTTAGCGAACAGAGTTATCCTACTTGAGTTTTTAAAAATCAAAGTGAAACTAGCAAGTTTTTGAATGAATTTCGGAAGAACCAAGGAGTTTAGAACTACTTTTAATCTCCTTCGGAAGAACGCTTTTTTTTAATGGTTACGCTGACAAAAAACCTCTTCCGGAGGAAAGGGTGATTATTTTCTTCGTTTAATTTGACTTTAGAATGAAAGGCGAGAGGTCATTAAAATTTTTAAAAACTAAAACTCCATACTCAACGAACCCGAACTGCTGATGAACAGCAGTCGATCTGCGCATGCAAGGAGGTGCTATTCCTATTCTTCTTCTGGAAAAACGAAAGAGAGCTTCAAAACAGACTGCAGCGCCATCTGAAGCAAAGAGCATACTTCCTGCGGACACTTTTTTGGCTGAGTGGCCCATCTTGTTATTTACTATCTTTGACATAGAGTAATTCAGAAACGTAATTCTAAACCCAAATGAAACAGTTCTCCATGGATGCACTCGATTAACAAAAAATTACTTCCGGTATGACCGTGTGCAAGAGTGATTACCTGCTATTTTCCACCAGATCTGGTTGCTCTAAAGTTCCTTTATACGCTATTATTTAAATATGGCCCACAGTTAAATGCCTCCTTCATTTTGGTTGTGTGAAATCTCTTAGTAGTAATTTGTAGTGCCCCAAAACTGATCATGTCACTTCTACTTTATGTGGCGATGATTGTCTTTCTTGTCTGCACGGCATCAGCTGGGTCTTCGGCCTGGGGCTGGGTAAACAATGTTGAACGAATTGGGCCAGGTTGCAAAACTATTCCTCTATGCATTCATGTCTAATCTGTTGTTGCCTATACTGCTAAAAGGGTATGTGCATGATATGATTTGTCATTGTTGAAAGTCATGTCACGTCATTCGACGCTGAGACTCATTGAGAACTAGGCCTAAGCTTGATTCTCGAGAGATCAAGAAGCCGCATGACGTCGCTTAGGGCTCATCATTCCTTTCGATATCGGCACCATCGTAACGTCTCGTCATCCCATATTACGGAAAGTACCTTTTTCAGTGGAGCTAGTGGTTGTAGAGAGCTCCTTTTTCCTTCTGTCTTTTGTATTAGATTGAATTATCTTTGAGATTTGTTTCCATCACTGATTTGGTAACGATAATGAATATATTTTCTTATAGGCTGGCTATTTATATTATTATTATTATTATTGTTTGATACCGACACATTTGATGTCTCGAATACTCTACGCAAACATCCAAAATATAAGAAAGAGGGCTAAGGCATAATATACAACTGATCTCGTTAAATGCATAATCTTTCTGAGTAGTACTAAGCAGTCTGTGGACAGGTTCTGTTTGAGATATTGTGTTCATCCGCGGGCATTTCTTGTTTTGATTAGACGGCAGAAGAAAAATTGGTACGTGTCTTCAACCTAAAGTTCACACATTACTACCATATCTTATCCTCTGGGTCCTACTGAAAACTCAAAGGGTTCTTTTTTTCAGAGAGGGGGTGGGGGTGGAGTCGTATGGAACAGGGCAATCGAGCTCTTTTTTTAACGTCCAGCTCTTCTTCCTTTAAACAACCTACACAAGCATTTTGCGTTTTAAAAAAACACCCGTGTATTTAGTTTTAGTTAGAGTTTCAAGGCTCTTGCAACACGATTAGGTCATATAAGTGCCGAAGATTATAGGTTTTACAAGAGAGTAACAAACACAAAAAAGAGGAGAGACAAGGAAGCTACGTGTGTATTTATATATATATTTGACAGGAAAGAAGGAGCAGATCTCATCCGAGCACACACTAACCCCCCATAACGTCAGTACGAGATGAACAAACCCCGATATGTCTTCACCGATTCCACCCTAAGCCCTTATATTTACTCTAGATCTACCTAATGACCGGAGAGATCGTAAAGGCTTTGTCTTTTTAAGTTATGTATGACCTCCTCTTCACGTTTTAATATGGATCCTGTGGTTTTGGACTTAAGTAATCATTACTGTACGGAATTTTCTGTACACCTATCTCCAGCACACCCTTACTACATCTACATATAATTATATTAATTTATGCACTCGTGAAAAGCCACTCAAGACACAAACCTACAAAACAGGTTTAAGTAATTAATTCACAAGAAAGCGCACCCACGTAAACGGTATACCTTAGAATGAGTTCGTGTGCACGCATAAAAAAAAACGAACTCCCATAGAAACTTGTAACGTTACATCATGTACCAAAGCACCCAAACACGAAAGCATGCCAGTTTGTCACAGGCCTGGACCCCTGCCCTACATGATGGAAGTTATCTATGACACTCTCAAAAAATGAAAATTAATGATTGATTGATTGTATGAATTGAATTTCATTTTTATTATTATTTGTAATGAAAGAACATTTATTGATGAAATTTTACAGAGTATTTATAATTTACTTTGATTTGCATACATAAAGGAAGAAATATTGAACAACACAAGCTGAATTGACTTTTTAGAGGGACTATCTCTACACCACCACTTTGAAGGTGGAGAATAAACAGTGTTAAAGTGCTGTAATTATGACTGTCATCAATACTCAAATAATTAAATGAAATTGTGACAAACTGGGCACGTGACCCTCCGTAGTTTGTCCTGTGGCAAACTGGTCAGCCCCTGATCGCCCTACTCGTCACCCCCCCCCAAAAAAAAAAACCCACAGGTGTTATGGATGGAATAGACTGGTAACAGTGGTAGGCAAATTTTTCTCTTCAGCGCCTAGTCCAGCAAAAC